GCTGCAATCACACCGCAGAAGAAGAAGAAGAAGATGGACGGATGAACTAACAGTTTTTTTCAGTATGATCAAAGTGAACAAACACTCACACTTCTTCAGTCTGGGTTTCAGTCTCTGCTTTCCACAATGTTCCAGCCTGGATGAAGAAACAAAACCATTAAAAACATCAGGTAACCATCACAAAGCTATTAAATTTCATGTTGCAACCGAAGCGTTTTCACAGAAGATATATCAACAAGTACAGAAACTTCAGTAACTCCTCCTCCTGCCTCCCCGTTCCCTCATCCACCTGCTGGCCTCCCCCATTTGCTAATGTTACTGAATCTGTGGAAGCTCCACGATGCCACCGCACGAAGTAACGACTAACGAGCCTATCTACATCCCAGTAACGATTAACGTGCTTCTGATTTTGGCATAATAACTAGTTACTGTGCTCGTTACCACAATAATAACGTAGTTACTGTAACGCGTTACTTAATAATGCATTAGTCCCAACACTGGTGATGAAGTATGAAAAAGCAGTTACTAACTAATTTAGTAGAAAACACTTTTACCACTGACTATAGCGCACAGTTTTGGCTCCACCTCTTTTTATGCCACATTCTCTGGTGATTAATGCTCACTAAGTTTTTCAGGCTAAGGCTGATCACAGAGGTAGTCTGGGCACGGCTCCTTTCAGTTCCTACATGACTGAATACCAGAGCACAAACCAAGGTCCACAAAGACGTGGCCTGCACAGAGTCCTGACCTCAACCTGAAAGAACATCTTTGGGAGTAATTAGAGCAGAGACTATGAGCCAACACCAGTGTCTGACTTAACAAATGCACTTCTAGAGAAATGGTCAAAAATCCTCATAAACACACTTGTGGAAAGCCTTTCCAACAGAATTGAAGCTGTTATGTGTGTGTGAAGGTAGACGAGCGAATACTCTGGGTAATGTAGCGCATCTAATTTTGGCAAATCTTTGTGTAAAATACTCCTTTGTGTTGACCAATCTGTTTATAGATGAAGCAAACTGGGGGTTCAACTCTCATTTTCATCTGTATTATAGCTGGTTATCTGTCTAGCACGAACGAATGTCATCTGTGGGTCACACCTGAGAGTGTCCAGTCTGCAGCTTGGCTCCTCCAGTACAGTAGACAAAAGCTTCATTCCTGAGTCTCCTGGATGATTGTAGCTCAGGTCTAGCTCTCTCAAGTGTGAGGGGTGGGACCTCAGAGTAGAGGACAAGGAAGTGCAGCCTTCCTCTGTGATTAGACAGCCTGACAATCTAGAGACAAACACAAGGAATTATGTGTAATTCTCTTACACACTGGCACATAACATCTGGAAAACAACACAAATATACAATTCAATTCCGTTTTATTTATAAAGCACCAAATCACAACAACAGTCGCCTCAAGGCGCTTTAT